CCTGCCTCCTCCCCAGTAGGAACAGGAGTGAGAAAACAGATAAGAACATAAGTGAAGCCAATGTTGAATCAGGCCAAAGGCCCATCCAGTCCAACACTGTGTCACATAGTGGCCAAAAATACCAGGTGCCATCAGAAGGTCCAGCAGTGAGGCCTTCCACTGTTGCCCCCCCCCAGCACCAAGAATACAGTGCATCACTTGCTCCAGACTGAGAGTGTTATTTACTATTAAAAAGCAAAATATTTGATAACATGCAGCTAAGATCAGCTTTTGAAAACAACATTCATCTAAGCACACAATACCAAAGAGGGATTGGGGGGGGGGGGAGCTGCATTGGTCTGAAAGCAGCAGATCAAAGTTCGAGTCCAGTGGCACTTTTAAGACCAACAAAGTTTATTCTAGGTATAAGCTTTCATGTGCATACACACTTCTTCTTCTTCTCCTTTGGCCCCCCGCAGGGGAATTATTTTTTTTTTGCATTTTCTACACACTACAATTATGGGTGATGGGTATAGGAAATCTAATACATAAATCTACTGGATAGGGGAAGGAGTACTACAGTTCTAATCTATTCCATCTACTGGATTTGAGGAATGGGTAAAGACTAATACATGTCATGATCTGAGAAGTTATAGAAATACTGCTTTTAGCCTAATATAACATGTTATGTTAAGATTTGATTCAATTATTAATACATATTTAGTAGCTTAACACAATTTCTGCCTTTAATACTATTGCCTTAGTTCTAGAGTATTTTCTTCCCGCATTTCTTTGTTTTTTTTAAGTTTCGGAGCAGCCACTCCTTTCCCCGATTCAGATGATTCTGATGTGGAAGTTTGACTTGTTGAATCCTGTGAGTAGGATTCATCTTCTTCTTCTTCTTCCTCCCCATCCGGTTTTATGTTCTTTTCCTTCTGCTTCCTTTTTGTGTTAAACACTTGGTCCATAATTTTTTCTGCTTTTGGAACAGTCAATTTTATATTTTTTTCCTGGAAATTGAAGCTCAGCCCTTCCGGGAATAACCATCTATATGGTATTCCCTTTTTTTGCAGAGTGAGAGTGAGCATCCTGTAATGTTTCCTCTGTTTTCTAACTTCAAAAGGGATGTCTTTCAAAATATTTACTTCTCCATTCTTGATTTTTAAGGGGTTTCCCATTGTTGACTTTAACACCAGTTCTCTGGTAGATCGTTTTGTGAATTTCAGATAGATTTCCCCAGGTAATTTATTTTTCTTTATAAAATCCGGATAAGTCCAATAGGCCACATACATCTCTTTTATTAAATCTTCTTGTTTGTAATCCATTAATGGGGCCAAGGCAGCTGCCAAGAGTTCTTTTAGAAGAAGAAGAGAAGAGATTGGATTTATACCCCGCCCTTCACTTGGAGTCTCAGAGCGGCTTACAAACTCCCTTCCCTTCCCCTCCCCACAACAGACACCCTGTGAGGTGGGTGGGGCTAAGAGAGCTCTGACACAAACTGCTCTTTTTCAAGGACAGCTGTGCCAGAGCTTGTGAGTGACCCAAGGTCACATCAGCAGGTGCAAGTGGAGGAGTGGGGAATCAAACCCGGTTCTCCCAGATTAGAGTCCGCGCACTTAACCACTACACCAAACTGGTTTTAAGTGCTCATTTTTCTCTTCAGGGATCCCATGAAACATAGAACATACATGGATCTATCCAGCTGAAGCTGTGTTATTTGCATTTTATCAGTGGATCTTTCCTTCTCTGCTTCATCCACTCTTTTATTAATACTCAGTCTGTTTTTCCATCTTTTTCAACATTTTCTCAGTTGCTGAGGTTCTTTTATCCATTTGATTCAGCTGTTTTGGTACATTATCAAGCTTAGTGTTGAGATTAGTCATCTGCTCCATTAGGGGGCACAGTGCATTTGCTAGCAGTGCGGAGAAATCTGTAGTTACTTCCTGGTTCTGGGAAGGAGTCGTTGGTATGTTATTTCCGGTCACCAGTTTTTTATCCGGCACTCTCCGTCCTCTCCCAGCCATAATATCAACAAGAAGTAAGTTTTCCAAAACAAGGCAAAAGTTATACGATTTAGTCCCACTTTGTATACTTTAGTAGTTTTGCATTCGTTTAACTGCTTATTTTAGCTCATAGTCTTTTATTTCCAATTTAAAACTGTTAATAAAGTTTGCTCAAAGAAAAAAAAGGGTGTGTATGTTTGAATTCCTCTCCCCAGTGCTTCAAACTTAGGTGCTTCCAATTACTACCAAGTTTCAGTTCGCTTTTTTCACCTGAGCTTTGCTTAACTCACAATTTGGAGCCTTGGAGATCTTTTGGAAACATTTTTAGAAGTTTGATTGTGGTCGCTTGCTCCAGCAGTCGTCTCTGAGCGCCATGCTGGCTCTGTGGTGATGGTACCTTTTGGAAATGAAGGTGAGCCTCAATTCCTTGGCCGTTGCCTTGGAAGAGGCTCTCCTCAGCTCCCCAGGCTGGGGGTTTCCTACAAAGAAACCGGGGAGGTCCGGGACGAACTCGGACCCCTCCCGTCAGCCTGGTCTCGGTGCGTCTCCATCAGAGTGAGATGGGACATGTCTGAGCAGTGAAACGCTTAGACCAGAAGTCCTGCATACACACTTCTTCAGATGTCAAAGAGGGGCATTAGCAAAGAAACCTGTTTTTTTAAAAAAATCTTATTTCAAAGCATCTGCAATTGATAATATTAGGTTCCCAAAGAGAAGACTATACTACATTTTGGAGCAACAGCATTAGGTATGAATATGTAGCCATCATTCAAATCCCAGGAAAGCTATGAAGCTCACTGGGATGCTATTCTCACAAGGTTGATACAAGACTAGATGACTATTCCCATGCATGTTTTCCTAGGAGCACAGGCAGGACACAAATATGATTAAGTAGAAATAAACAATATTTTGAGATGACAGAAAGGTGATCGTCCTTATCCTCCCTTTGCTCCACAAAAAATTCCCAACCTGGCCGTCCAAAATAAATTGCAACATAAGAGTTCTCTATTGTGCTCTGAGGGACTAGGAGCCAACTGACCTTCAAAATGTGGCTCCTTAGAAAGACAGCATCCCCCAACCACTCCCTCATCAACTTTTTTTACTTGAATTGAATTTTGGTGCAGGTAAAAAAGACCATGAGCATGCAACTAGCCCAAGCTTCCATAGCAGAGCAGGGATTTGAACCTGGGTCTCCTTCAGATCCTAGTCTGACATTCTAACCACTATACTGCACAAAGAACAGCAGCTGCTGAACAGCACCTTGATGGGAAGAGAGCTACACATGTGCCCAAGCAGAGTAGCATGACATGTAAAACTGGACTCAAGACTTTATACATTTCTGAGAAGCATTGCTGGTGGTGCAGGTTTACCTCAAAGTTCTGCATAATATTGAGGAAATGCCACTAGAACACCCCCCCCAAAGCTACTGAGTTAAGTCACATAACTTAAAGCTATGTGAGCACTGTTCTTTTTTCTCCACACACAAAGGTTCTTTTGTTTCCAACATTCAATCAATTTAAAATACAAAGAAAATAATGTCATTCAGTCCTTTTGGCAATGTACTAACCTGTAGAGCTGGCAGCAGCCATCTCAGAGCCACTGAAGTCCAGCCAAAGCAGATGTCAGAAGAGTGGAAAAAGGCAAGGGGGGAACTCTGAAGATCTTTCCCTGCCCGACCACATTGGCGGGCAAGTGAGGTAAGATGTGTGGGGGCCTCTGAAGGCCTTTCCCTGCCCATCTGCATTGGTGGGCGAGTGGGGAAAGGCGCACGTGGAGGGTGTCTGAAGGCCTTTCCCTGC